TATTTCATTATTTATTAATTTTTTACTATCTATAAGTAACTGTACAAAAGGGTTACCATGCAACAGATAAGTTTATAGTACAATGCATCTTGACTATCATTCCATCACTTTCATCCATCACTCCAATCTACTTATCCCCTCAGTTTTCCTAGTTTCATAGGATATGCATTGAATAATATGACTGCATCCTAGACCTTCCTCTCTTTGAACAATGATACACACACACACACACACACACACACACACACACACACATATTAATCAGGACTCTTTTGACTGCATCTGGTATTATCCCAAGTGAAACCAATTTAGTTTAAAAGGAATTGTTGTTGTTATTTGCCTAACTAAAATTCTAGGTATAGTCTGAATTTAGGCAGTGCCATATTTACACACTAAAATAATATTACCCCTACTAAGAATCACTCTTAATTTGTCTTTCCCTTCTGATTCTCTGGATTAGATCTCAGGCAATCTGTTGACCATGAAAGGTAAAGACAGTTATCACTAACTCTAGGCCTTCACCTTATTTATCTACCATCCAAGGAAAGAAATGTCTTACAATTATATAAGTCAAAAATGGCTGAGTAGGCCCAAAGAAACATAGGTCCCAAGGTCTTCCTTATTTGCAATAACTAGTATAAGTCTGGGACAAGCAGAAAAGGTTAAAAGCTATGTACATATTACCAGATAAGATTATTTTAGGCGAGATGAACCCCAAGATAGGTGGTTTTTTTCTTTCTTGCTATTGTTTCTAATGTATTTATAATGTACCATGTGATTTTTTTGTTTCTTTGTATGTACTTCCCCCACGATATAACCCCTGTTTTCACTGTATTTGATGTCTGTGCCCTGTATATACACTATTCTAATTTGGGGAGGAGAAGGGAAAAAACAAAATGCTTAAATAGGAATAAAGGTTGACCCATTGTAACAATGAGATGCACAAGACACTATGTTGAAAAACAAACTTTACAATCTAGGTGGGAGCAGGGGAAGTGTAGTTGGGTAACAATGCTTGGTAAGAAATGTACTCATTACCTTGTTCATGTAACTGTAACCCCTCTGTACTGTATTTTTACAATAAAAATGTATTAAAATGGCCGTGTAATGCCAATTTTATAAGTTTCAATCTAATAGTTCCAGAAAAATTCCCAAGCTTAAAGTTCATTAGTTCCAGTTATATTTCACACTCATTATTGATCAATTACTGTGGCTACTGAAATAGACTGCTCTCATTGGTCAAACCTAAGCTAGATGCCCACCCACTAAATTATAAAGGCAAAATTGACAGAAGACAAGATTTCTGAATGGAAATGTAAGTTGCTATCATTAGAAAAGAGAAATAACAGCAAAACACCAGATGCTCCTTATCTTTCTAGAGACATAAAAGGTGGAGATTTACCATGAAGGTGATGAAGCAGAAACTTCAGGGTGTTTACTTGCGTAGTTTTAGGTTTCATCTAAAACTACGGATTTAATGTTGTATTGAAAAAATGTCAACTCTTTTTCATAAAACATTTACCCAAATTGTACAAGCTTCAGGACTTACAAAACCTACATCTACCCCATTAAAAAATACAAATCCATATGAAACTACTTAAGACATGTTCTCAACATGTTCTACTCTCTTGTTTTTGGTGGAAATAAACCACTTATTGCATAGTTTATTCACTAAACTCTTCACAGTAACTTGATCTCATCATTTGACACTAACAGAAAATAACACCATCAACCCCGTTAGAGCTTCCCAGCTTCTAAATACATTTTTCTCTGTACCTGTACAGGCCCCTTTTCCCACCTCCTTAAACTTGCAAATGAAACCTGTTCCCCAGTATCTCATGTCATGAGAGGCCAGACTAGGTCAAGGAGTTCATCTCTATATCCTAACATGATAGCTTACAGCACCAAATTTGAAAAAAATATACTATTTGTTCACTCTCACTCTCAACTAGTATTTCTTGATATTCTTCATTTTTAAGTCCAAGTCAAAATAAATTCTCTGAATCAACAGAGGATATGTACAGAGACTATGAAATACAAGGTGTATCTCACATTAGGATATATCTGAGCTATGACCTTTCTCATAGCTGTATTAACCTATTATCAGAGATGTGACAAAAGTGGGTTTGGGTAAGTCTGAAAAGGTACCCTTGTTATTGAATTTCCAACTTTGCTTTACCCTTCTGCTTGGCAGTCAGACAGTCAGAGGAATGTAAATTCATGCCTTTTTGAGTGTGGGGGAAGGTGAGGGAACTAAGCCTGCCTGCTGCTATTCTGATTACAGCATTTGTCGCTGTAAGAGACAGCTCTGGAATTGATGCTATTTTTCTCCCCTCTCAGGAAAATGGCTCGGACTGTGTATCAGGATAGGCCGAGGGGCACCTGCAAATGACAATTTCTGCTTAATCTCCCAGCAGGTGTCCAAGGCTGTAGTCTTGCCGACATGGCATTACATTTGACCTATTTAGTCCTCCTTCTTTCCCTTCTTCCTTCTTGTGCATGAAATATGGCATGGTAACAGGGCCGTTGCCATTGTGTTGCTGGGTTGTTTTTTTTTTCCTTTTCTTTTAATTTGTTGAAATTGTCTCTAGGCAGAAGAAGTAGGGGGTAGGAAACAGATGGTTAGCTGGAGTAGAAACCTACTACCCAGTAGTTCTGAAATACTTGAATAGTAGAAGTCCCTGTTTCCTTGTAGAGAACGGATAAAATAAAAGAACAGTAATGAAAGATTTTCAGCAGACTAAGCTCCAGTGCCATGTTTCCTGTGTCCACACAACTGTAAAAGGTAGTCCCTTCTCCTTTTGGTTTCTAAACCCTCATCAGCCATTGGCCAGAACAGATCCACAAGGGAGAAATGATGATGATAAGTAGGATTTATAATTACAAATGAGTATCTCTCATTTCACTTGATGGCTCCTTGGATGTCTTCCTCCTGCCCCATCCACATCCTCACTGCTAGCAAATGCCAAATATTTGGTCAACCTATTTAAGATTGAAAACAAGAGCAAGCATTAGGAAACGGGGTAAGGGATAACCTCTCTTTCTATGTTTGAGGAGTGGCCCAGTGTTCTCTGGGCCATCTAAGCACCTAGAGGAGAGCAGCACACAAAGGTAGGAGCACCAGCTGCTTCCTCCACTAACTAACCTCTGATAGAGAAAACGGATTGTCCGCCTTCTGTGAAGTAACATGCAAATGAAACAAAATATTCAGATATCTACCTTTTAGATTTTGATTTTCCTCTGCAAACAAATGCATGATCCCCCCCGCAATTCTGTTCTGCTTCTCCAGCAACAATGAGTGTCTTAGGGTCCAATTAATTCCTGTTACTAACTACCTAGAAGTGGCATCAGATTCAACAGGTTTCAGGGCTCATTGTCACAACTGAAAGCTTACCCTAACCTAGATGATCCCCAAGTTCCACCCTATTTAGGTATTTTTATGAAGACTTCTTTACATAACTACAACTGCTTAAGTAATTCACCACTGATAATATTGTCTCCCTTCTCTGAAGGTAGAGGTTTAGGGCTGAAAGTTCCAAGCTTCTAACTAAAGTGCTTCTGGCAATAAGATGATCCTATCATCCTTAGTACTTGGGTAATATCTTAAGGGGGTTAAGAACTCCATGGCAGGAATCAGAAACATGAGCCAAATATGTTTCTTACTATACAATATCACTCAGTATGCTTACCTTCCTCAATACTCCTGGCTCTCCCTTTTTGTCTACTTTCCAAATCCCTTTAAGAGATTGCCCAGTAAAACCTCTGATTTGTTCTTCATAGACTTTTATGATTAGTGCTCCTGGGGCAGACTCCTTCATTTCTCTCCTCCAAACAAATATTCTCAGGGCAACAGAAGTGAATGTCTACTCCCAGAAGGACCTTACAAAGTCAGTGGATCTTAGGAAGTCAGTAGCAAAGCGAAGCCTAGGCATCTGAGGACATCACTTGTACCCCTGCAGGCCTCTGAGGGACACATGACCCAGAAGAGAGAAAAAGGTCCTGAGAGTGTCCCGGAGGGCTTTGGCTCTAACTTCTTCATAGTCTTAGAGCTGGATCCTAAAACTGAAATAAAAGGCCAAGAGTTAACTAGTTCAATGGGATGGGGACACAGATCAATTTGAGTGACTGTGAATTTGACTCCCATGAACAAAGACAGAAAGACAGAGAAAGACAGAGAGAGAGAGAGAGAGAGAGAGAGAGAGAGAGAGAGGGAGAGGGAGAGAGAGAGAGAGAGAGAAAAACAATTCAAAGAATCAAGACTGTCCTTTGGTGTTAACAAGATTTCTTTTGAAGCAAAAGGCTCACTCCCTCCTGTCTCCCCACCTCCCCTCCCGCCTCCAGTCTTAAGACTGCCTTCAGATGAGTGTCAGATGGTGAGGGCCCAGAAGCCCACATTGGTTTATTTAAATAAATAAAAAAAAATCCATGTTTAGGTCCCAGCATGTGGCAATGTGCTCCACTGTGATGACACTTCTCGTTTCTAATAATAGAGCAGATGAAGTAATATTGCAATTGATGTTCCAGGGGATTTGATTGGATAAGTGCATAAACTGTGGAGGGGAAGGAGGTTGTATGGCTGGATCACATTAGTATTCCTGTCCTATCAATGTGCGGGGCCGCGACCAACGTCAGCCAGACCCATTCCTTGCGTCTGCCAGTCCCGCCACAGATTCATTTGGGATCCTTAAACAGACGAGCCCATAGAGACTAGGGATCAAGACAGCCAATTAGGGCCAATTGCCTGCTGCTGGAGGGGCGGGAGGGTAAAGAGAGAGGGGTGGAGGGGGGGAGCGGGGGAGGGACAACCAGCCCAGCCAGGCCTGTCGACCGACGGTAGAGGGAGGGGAGAGACCACTGAGCGCCGCGGCGGGCAGACACGGAAGGACGAGCGACACCCCATCCCGCTCGCGGCTCCCCACACCTTTGCAAGCTGCACTCCCCGCACCCCCCCCCCGCCCCCCCCCATCTGAATGGAAACTCGGAACCGCCGGGCAGCGCGTTCCTCCTCACTTAGCCCGGCGATCCATGCCGAGAGGAAGGAGGTGCGAGCCCGCGCCAGCACCCAGCTCCCGGGACAGGGCCCGCAATGCTGCTGAGCAGAACTTGATCGCGCCCTCTCCTCGCTGCTAGGCGAAGCGATGCTGCACGGCCCGGCCAGCGCCACCCCGGCTCTCCTTCAGGCTGAAGGTTACCCAGCCGCGCAGCCAGCCCCAGCCTGGTGAAGCCGCCGGCGCGCCTCGGGTCCCGGCTCCGGCTGCTTGGCGGCGGCGGCGCGCAGGGCAACCACCGGGCCGCCCGCGCCGGGGCGCACTGCACCAGCGGGCTTCGGCTTGCTGGATGTGTATGCATGAGTTCTGCACCGAATGGGCGCAAAAAGCGCCCCAGCCGGTCCACTCGCTCCTCGATCTTCCAGATCAGCAAACCCCCGCTGCAGAGCGGGGATTGGGAGCGCAGGGGCAGCGGCGGCGAAGGCACCCACAAAACCCAACGAGCCCTGGACGACTGCAAGATGGTGGGTGAAAACGGCGCCTCTTTTCATTTTGATGTTTATTCCTCCGAGAGGGGGTGGGGTGGGGAGTCTTGCCTGTGCATCGTTTGCTTGAGTGCCAGCCACTCCCCACCCGCAGCTCCTCCGGGTCGATCACGTGCTCGTGTCCTATTTTTACATCTGCACACCCCCAGATTCGGGGTGACACCCAGGTCGTAATGACCCCACGGCCTCCTACGGGCTCTCGGGGAGCGCGAGCCCGGGGATGGGGTGCGGGGGGAGAGACAGAGGCTGTAGGTTGTGCCTCTAACACCCCCCTCCCCCGGGAGAATGGTGGACAGGAAAGCCAGGGTGATACTGGCTCGCGGGGCGGGGAGAGGGCTGGGGGGCTTGGAAAGCTGTGAAGGCAGCTTTGGAGTGAGACTGTAACAAACAGACCCAACCGAGCGCGCGGGGCGGGCGTCGCAGAGCCCACTGAGGTTTCGGCGCAGTGGCTGTGGCCAGTCTTTCCATCCTGTTTCCAAGCTGGGGCGGGGCAGGGGGGGGTGTTCAGGAGCTCCCCGCAGGTGGTGACCGGTTTGTCAGTTGCCCCTCATATGGGGTCTTTTCCCCTCGGGCTACTTCCGATCCTTGTTGTAGGGGGGGGGCAGAGGGCATCTATGCAGACAGCAGTGTCCAGCGTCTCTTTCTAGTGACCTGGGAGTGGCCTGCTAGCTCTCCAAATATGTCCTTGCTTTTCAGAAGCCGAGGCTCAGCCCATAGGGGCAAGTAGTTCTGCAAATAGAGCTTCCATGGCCAGGCTTGCCGATGGAAAACAAACATTTGCTTCGGACAAAGACACTCGGCATCTTTGTGTCACGCTTTAGACAAGTTCTAGGCTCCTTAGCTGGAGATGTAGGGAGCTGGCTTGAGAGGTCAGTGAAGTCCCATTGATGCACCACCACAATAGGAAACTTTTGTGACGACAAGTGTTTGGTGAAAGAAATTGGCTTCTTTTGCAGCTGGTCCAAGAGTTCAACACGCAAGTGGCCCTGTACCGAGAGTTGGTCATTTCTATTGGGGACGTCTCGGTCAGTTGTCCCTCACTCCGAGCGGAAATGCACAAGACAAGAACCAAAGGCTGTGAAATGGCCCGTCAGGCACACCAAAAGCTGGCTGCCATATCAGGGTAGGAAACCCGCGGCATTATTTGGTGATTTGTGTATATGACGCATGTTATGTTGACCCATTGTTAGTGGCCTAGGCCTCTGAGGTGATCTTAGCAAATCTGGGGTTCTAACCAATCACTCCGAGCTCAGAGATCAGGATTCTTTAGAGAGATCTAAACAAACTATAGGTGAAATCAGAATCTGAAGGCTATGCTATTTTCACACACACACACACACACACACACACACACACACTGCTGAAAGATTTTGTAAAGAATAATTTTTAATCAGCTGGCTTCTTATTGGAATTTGGGGGGGCAAAGGGAAATATTTGGTAATCTAGTTTGGTCATCAAGTAAAGTTAAATCACATCTTGCCTCAAGGTTATATTTTCATCTGCTATGGAACAAAAGGCAAAATCTTTGCTAAAACCCACATTTACTAGACTTATATTTACTCATTATTTACTCATATACCATGAGATAAATTCCTATAGTGCCTCTAAAAATAAAATCCATAAAATAAAATCTTAGCTACAACTTATTCTCTTTAATGTGGTATAAAAGAAAGGGAGGTTTGAATATAAACAAAGTTTTTAACAAACTGGAGAACCTTCAAATCCTTTTAATCACATTTTTTGATTCCCTAGCCCAAGTGAGGTAATAATAGAGTGAAAATTCTGTCCTGAGACACTTATCTATTGTTTGATCTCAATATTGGAAGAAAAGTTAAAGATTTATTAACAGTTGCTATTGTCAAGCTAGGCACTTACAGCAAGCTATCATAAGGTCTTTGTGAACTTGTGCAATTTAATTTAAGTGCTTGATTCAGTGATGATACAGCCTTTATCTGCTTATCCATGTAAGGCTTTATAAAAATGGAGCTCCTATCAGTGAGGATCAACTGGTAATGCTGCTCATTGATCACTTGTTGAAAACATCTAATTTCTCCTTGCCATCTTTCATACATTGACTTTCACTAATATACAGTTTACATATGGTGCTTTTCTTAAGAAATACATCACATTTGACAACAGGCAATTTATATCATGGAAAAAATCCATCTACCTAATGTCCTTGAAGTAAGGGATTAAAAATAGGTTACAAAACTCTTTGAGGTAGCGGTAATATAGAGAAACTTAATCTTTTCCTGTTACCCTGTATTTAACAGGAAGTAAATTTGGAAAGTAAAGAGGAAGTATTTCCAGAAATACAGCTGTGATAAACTCCAGATACCTGAAGAAGAAAATAAGGAGAAGCATAAAGGAGAGTCTTGATAAATAAAAATGTATAGAAAAATAATAACCCCAAAGGAAAGTATAGGAAAATTGATGTTGGGGCTGAAAATTGGCATCTCTGAAACCTTTGTGCCCAAGAATGTAGGATGGGGTCATATCCAGGATCACTTTAAGTTGAAATTCAAAATGAGGGCAAGTCTCCTCAGAGAAGGGGAACAGAAAAAAAAGGGTTTATTTTGCTGTAAGCATGAAATATAGCTCTTGTAAAGGAACAAGCCTAAAATTATTGAATAAAAGTTAAGTTTTGAAGATATGAGGTGGATTATATTTACGGTGGGTTTTGCAGCCCTTCAATGCTTGCTTACTTCTTATCTGACGGTAAATGTTAAGGGATGAGTTTTAGAAGAACTAGTGGGGGAAGGATGATGTTCTTAGATCTTTGCACAGGAGACACGAAGTCCACAAAATGGTCTAGGATAGAATTTGACACATTTTTCCTTTAAAAATTAATTAAATGAAGCTTTGCATTCTTTATAAACAATGACAGCACTATAACAAAAGGAAATCCCTTTAGTTCCTCACCATCTGGACTCCATTAATGAAGGATGTGATTCCCTTTGGTGGAATTCTGTTTCTGATATGGTTTGTTATAAGGGTTCTCATTTCAAGCTTGGTGTGAAGGCTGGTATGGAGACTACAAGATTCCCTTGAAATACCAAGGGTCAGGAGAGCAAAGGTTCTTGGGGAAAGTAGATAGAAAGCCTACATTTCTTGAATGTGCACTATTTGTTTCACAATCCAGCTAATTAACAGATTTAACAGCTAATTAAGTGTTAATAATGTTAACATATGGATAAACTTTAAAGAAAATAGGTTAACTGAAAGAAGTCACACAATACCACATATTATATTACTCTGCTTATGAAATGCCCAGAAAACTTAAATATATAAGGTCAGAGAGTAGATTAATGTTATTTATTTTCTGGTACTGGTGATAGCAGTTAGTAAATGAAGATGAGCACAAAGACTGTTTTTTTTTTTGCTGTCGTTTGTGTTTATTTTTCTTTTTATTATTAGAATTTTATTGTCTTTAAATAGTTGTTCAAAGGAGTTACAATTCAGCATGCCAGTTTTTTAGAATAAAGTACCTTGATCAATGTCACTCCTTTCACTATGCTATTTCTCCCAGCCCCACCCATTCCCTGAGTTTTCCTAGTTATATTTTCACATACATACATTGAATATTATAACTGCATTCTCTGATGGCTTCTCTCTTCATTTGTCTACCTTTCTCCCCCTGACATCACCTTAGCCCCTAAAATTAAAAGTTCCACGTCCCTGGTATTCATTTTGTTAGGGTGAAAGTTAGTTGTTCAAAGGAGTTATACCGCTGGAATTCTCATGTGCATATACCATACATTATGTTCTGAAGAATTTTCTAGATAGAAATTTCCCCAAGGGGTATGAAAGGCCCTGTGCCTGTATACCTTACAACTTATATAAACATGTAAATGTTTAAAAGTAGCTAAGTTTAAAATATTTTCTTTGTGTAAGACAGCCCAGACTTCATAAAATTTGCATAAGACTCCCCAAATCTCAAGCTTTATTCTGTGTGACATTGGACAAGTCTGTTGAATTCCCTATACCTTGAAAAGAGAGGATTAGATTGAATACCTTCGCAGTCTCCTGCCTTTATCATCCTGGTATTCTACATTAATTGATGTGGAATCACATGGATTTTTGTTTACAGAACTGAGCTATGAAAAATGAGAACCGCACAGGGAGCTTGATAATTAAATTCCAAAAATAATTGATGGTATCTGAACATATACTTCATTCACAAAAGGAATCTTCCTTTCCCAGTGGCTTTGGAAAGCAATGACACAGATATCCTAGAGATATACAAGTACAGATATTAGATTTTTGCCTGCTAGCAATAATTTCTTGACCAGCCAGGCTTATGTTTCTCTCCTTTCCCACCACCCCCTCCTGCCACCCATTAGTCTGTTTTGATCTTATTTCTTTTCTATTCAACTCTATGATCTCCAGTCCTACTTCTCACTGGTTGGAAGTTAGGAAGCAGGAGAAGGAAGGGAGAAAGAATAGAGAACTCTCCCTTTTGACCCCGTATACAAGACCACCGTAGTTTCATGGGGTGGGATATTGTGAAGAAGAACTTGACAGTCATAGAGGCAGCTCTCCCAGCTTTCTTTGAACCATAAAATGAAGCAGGTCTTAAGTAGGCAGATACCTGTGGTCCATGGAGACATGTGGTTGGTAAACATACCAACTCTATCCTTTATTTTCATTTCCTATGGATGACTGGTATTTTATGGATGCAGGCATCTCCAGCATTTCCCTGTATGTCTATGTTGAATTTTCCCCTTCATACAAGGACAGCAGTCATATTGAATTAGGAGCCCACTGTACTCCAGTGTGACCTCATTAAAATTTATTATACCTGCAGTGAGCCTATTTCCAGAAAAGAGTCACCTTCTAAGTTACCAGGAATTAGGACTTTAACATGTGAATTTGAGGAATACATAATTTTACACACAACAGAATATCTTGTGCTGTTTGCAGCATAATGTACACTTAGGGGTTTTTTTTGCCTATAGGAGAGGTAGGAAATCAAGGTGCACTTTTGCCTGGGGCCTTCTATAACCTCCCTCCACACATGCACAAAAAGATGTCTTACGGCCTGTTGCAATATTACAGTTTATCTTAGCAGTAGAGTTTTTGATTATGGGAATAAAATATTTCTTGCATGGAAATGATACATTCACAAAGGTACTAAATCTCCATTAATGGCTAGCACTTCACTCTGAACAATCTAACTAGCTGTCTCAGAAGGTGGAACAAAAGCATAACTAGAAGGGGGGATACTGGGCAGAGTCGGTAAAGCACCTAATGGTCCATACATGGAGCACCACCCACTTTCTCTGCAGGACGGAAAGGACTGGGAAGATGGTACTCTTTCCGTGGTGATAATACTATTGCATAGTGACCACAAGCATGCACTATAGCAAGAGACCAGGCACTGAAGCACATCAGATTTAAAAAGGGCCACTAAGCTCAGTGTGATAGGGAACCTAGACAATTGCTTTCCTATTGCCTTGAAGTTTTGCCTCTTTGTTTGGAACAGACCTATTGACTTGTACCTGGTTAGTGTTTTCTTAATAGATGTTCCAATGAGAGAGAGAGAGAGAGAGAGAGAGAGAGAGAGAGAGAGAGAGAGAGACCTAAGACAAACTTTAGGAAACTACACTGTCACTTTATTATTTAAATGAAAAAGCTCAAGGGAGTAAATTTATCTTTTATTCATCGTTGTATTCTGAGTGGTAAGCTCAGTGATGGCATGTAGATCTTGTTTGTTCACTAAATTTATTTGGTATTTTTAAGTTATGTACCTAAAGTGAAAACTTTAGTAAGTCATAAGATATAATATAGATATATATTATGTACACATACACACATAATCTCTCTCTATACACACACATACACATACATATACTACACTTGTAAAATCAGCTTTTTTATTGGGATAAAGCACCCAAGCTTTTACATAGAACTGATTTAGTAAATAAATGTCTCTGGTCTATTGGAAGATCAGATCCAATCAGATTTACAAAAAAATCCACCTAACGTTTGTAGCTATAGACAAATAGTATGCTAATAGTCCACCCTAGTGTCACTGAGTTAGGGCAAAGGGAGATAGACACATACTATCCCAGAAGAAAAAAACATACTTCTAGTGTATTATTCACTCACCCAAGTTATCTT